TAACTGTTGTTAAAGAACATTATGAATGACAAATGACGCAGTTGTAGTAGATGCTAACAAACATAATGTAATACTTACGTCGGGAGCAGTCTGATGATGTGTGATACAATGCGAATGATACCCTGTTATCGAGTGGTAGCCTCGCGCGCCCGCCGTATACCGTAGCGTCGCGTCGCGCGTGCTTACTGCAAGTGTTGCGCGCAACGCAGCAGATGCGTTCGGTCCGTGCACTCTTTCGACGTAAACTAGCACGTGGTGCAAGTAGATACTACATTATACGCGCGGACGCATGCCCATATTAAATTCAAATACAACGCGCATGCGTGCAGTTATTAGAGCAAATTGGAACGCAAACAAAAGACATCAACGAGTCTCTTCCATTGTTGCGTTCGCAAAATTATTAGTTAACAGCTAATTACGTGGCTCGAAAATGATATGCGAGTGAACAAAGGAGGTTTGAGTCCCCTTTACAGAGTTTGTGAGACGATGCGGTGTAGGGCGGGTCACCGCAACTATGCAAACATTCATTACAGACATGCATTTTTGTACCCGACTTCAACAAAAGAGGATGTAATTAATTAACAATACAGCAAGTCAATTGGCTAAAAATACATAGTAATGTGATACTGCGATAAATGTTTTGTCGTGTATTCCTGACATACGGTTAGAACAATTTATCGACACATCAAATAAATACAAGAGGTCGAATATTATTTGTAGCTAAGTAAGTAAAGAGTGTTAGAAAAAATACATTGCGAAACAAAATAATTTAAATACATAAAACACATAAATGTAATAACTATTTAAAACTTTCCTTTTTAATAGTTATTAAATATTTTTTATCGAACTTCCAAATTAAATCTGTAGATACTCTTCCTTTACTAAAAACTATCTTCACCAAGACTCCTGTAAGTGCTTGTCACTTGTCGAAGGTTCCTATAGGAGGTACCATTTGTACGAGTCCTGCGGTAGTGTGTGTGCCGCGTCCATTAACGTAACGTTCAATAATCCTCTTTGCCGGCAGTCGAACGCAGTGTAGTGGTGTCTGATCGGTATTGCAAAGATGTTCACTGTACATACTATACAGTGTTCCCCCCAGTCAGGGATTTACTTAAATACTTTCGGACGAATATTGCTCCTGCATTTTATATCAAAGCCTTTTAATAAAGGCTTGACGCTTTTTGTGCTGGCAACTGTTAATGGGGAATGCTTAATTTTTTTATTGTCTGCTGTAACGTGGGGCAAAATGCTTTTAAGTTTGACGTGGCGTGTACTATCGAGGATAAGTATTTTTTGAATGACGATCGACGTGTTTAACTTGGGTAATGTAAAATTTGCCAATTTTTTATGTATTGAACAACACAGATATTTCCAGACGACATCAACCTATATGTAAGATATATAATAATGTATTTGTTTATTACTACAAATAAATAAAGTCTGTGTACAGATTTTAACTTGTGTGTGTGTAGAAGTCCTAGAATGGTTTATAGATGGTGCTACAATATTCAAGTGGAACAAAGTTTGCCGGGTTAAAACATCAACGGCCCGTTACAGTATAATAAGGAAAAATAAAAGCGATGTTATGAGTTCAACTTGCAAAATCAACAATAAAATATGTAATCAAGTAAGTAAGAGTAATAAAATCTACAATATTTAGTCTAAATAAAAAAGGAAATGATACTTACAGTGACCGTAATTGAAGCATGAAATCCGTCGGAAAACTTCTGAAATTGGCGGAAGACGTTGACTTCAGGCACAAGCCAGCCTGGCAGGACGACGAGCTGACGGAAAACCCCTCTCCTTCACGCAATTACCCTGAACTGTTATATAAACCCCATATACCCTCCGGTTTCATAAATAGTTGTTTTAATTTTAGATGGTTACATTTTCGTTTATCAGTTATATAACATCACAATTGTAAAAATAGATGGTTTCGTTTTTCAAAGAGCCGGTATATAATACTTTATATAACATTCCACCTGTTTTATATAAATAAGGTACGGTAGGCAGAAGAGAATATTTTGTTGAGCTAAAGATAAATATGAGGGACGGAGGCCCTTTTTTCAGGAATAGAACAATACATAATATTTTTGACGCGTCTTTTTCGCATTTCCCGCATTTCCTCCTATAATAGCAATTGTACCTTTGACACCGCTAAGTTCTTACCTATATACACCGATATATAGGTATATACACATCTGAATGTGTCCTGATTCCTCTTTAACTGTACCTTCAGTCATTTATTGTCTGTAATTAGCGCAGTTTTAATAGTAAAAAAAAAATAATATCTTTTTTCATTTGTTAAATATTTATTTTATTTATTAAATATGCTTCATGCACAAAATGTACAAATAGGTGAACTTAATGCCGCAGGTATTTTCTACCAGTCTGACGATATTGTTTATATTTATTTATCCCGATGTCTGTTAAAACGTCAGGAGAGTGCGTCGCTAAATCGAATTATAAAAGTTTCACTTTCCAACTAAATGAAAAACCAAGTACAAAGTCAAAAGTCAAAGTCAAAGTCAAAATCATTTATTTCAATTAGACCAGTAAGGCACTTTTGAACGTCAAAACAAAATATTTAAATATTAAATAATAAAAAAAAATTAGAAAAAATGTCAGTCTGTAGGTCAGTCCTCTAGTGAAGCTACAATAGTAGTGCATTCTCATTTGAAAATACAAAAACGTTTTCTTTCGTTCCAGAAAACCCGATTGTGTTGAAAATATAATATGAAAATATGTGAATCTGTGATTTTAATAAAACCACTACGGTAGTAATTGATAACTCAAATTAATAAAACAAGTTAGGACGCATGATAACCAAGAATAGTACTTTAAAATCACTGTACGTAAGGTAGTTTTTCATACATTATTTTATCAATCAGGTTAAAGTTAAGCAACAAGAAAACTCTCTCATGATAGTGGTAAACAAATTAGTAAATAACTAATGTATTTTTAATGTTAGAGAAATTTTCAGAAATAAGAAAGACCGAAATGGTTAAGATAAAGAATTAGTAGATATTTATTAAAAAAAACATTACTATGTTATGTTACACAAACCATTCTCCAACAGTTCGAAGCGTAATGATAGCGAAAACAATACGTGGTATAATAGCGATATTATTGATTCGAGTTATCACCCCGCCGTCGTGCGATACATCGTCCTAGTAAATGGCATATATAGAATGATTATACTGAGCACTACACAGCTTGCATTGAAACCAGGAATAATTGTTTACGTTTCAGGTATCACATTGACCCCTTTCATTGTTCTCCTAGTTCCAGGTATAGCCTGGATAGAGCCCATTTATACGCTTTACAAAGCCAGCATACATAGAAATTCTACATAAAAAAATAAATAATTGCACCTTCCATGAAAAGAGCATCGTTGTATCCCAGAGCTGGCTAACTAAAAGAGACTATCAAAACATAAAAATAAAATAGATGCAAATCTATATATATGTATATATCATCCGTCAGTAAACTTTGTTAAACTTATTGAGGATTTCCATGACATGTGTTCATGACAAAGATTCTTCGAAATTGTTCTTAACACCTTAACCGTCGCGTAGGTCACCGGTGACCAATGTTAGCGGAGGATTTTCCCTCAGCGGTTTTCTGTCGACAGTCAAGGCTTAAAGATATGCAAACGTATATTTTTACCTTGGTAACCTTAAAGCAAAAGAAACTACATCAATGTATGAGGTTTATTTTTAATGATTAAGGATATTGTCAGTAAATAAATAAAGTTCGCGACATATAAATGTAGGCGCTATTCATGAAAAATGCACGCAACAAGTTGCCCACTAGCCGACGACGTGAGAAATAATTTCATAATATCTTCGTGAAATAAGCTTCGAGTCTCAATTTGAAACCTCTTTTAACATTTTGTAATGACTGAGATATGTTTTTGAAAAATAAAATGTTAGTAAACACAAACACGCTCTATCAGGGAACAAGAAACAAAGGTCGTGTTAGGGCGGCACTTCTAGTCTTCATAAACATGAAGTATTTTTTCAAAACACTAATACCGACTACTATTTAATATCGCAATATTTGTAAACAACAAGTTTCATTTTGTCAGAAGGCTTGTAAATACAGACACATAATTAAAATATACACAATACGTTATACATAATAGTGATTCTCCTGAAAATAATTATTACCGTCACAATGTTGAGTTTAAAACGAAAATTTATTGAATATAAAATATTTCGGTGAAATATTGCATTTAAAAATAATTGAACCGTTAATATATCATTTCGAGTTGAAATAAGACTATTGTTACACAGGTAGGCAACTGGTTAGATCATTAAAATAATTTGTTAACACTTTGGGTCGAATAGTATAGAACATGATGCGTGGTCATTTGTATATTCAGTTTCATTTTCTGATTTTCATTTATATAAAACTATTAGAAAGAGAGAAAAGAGAGAAAGAAAAACCTTTGAGAGGTCCGCTTCTGAAAGTACATTAAAACTGCGTTTAAATATGTACATGCACTAAAATAAAAACAATGATAAAATACTAATGTAATAAATGTTATGATTTCAGTAATTATATCAATTGGATAGATTATAAAACTACAAAATAAGTGTTTCAGTCCAATAATATGAACTGAAAGCCTTTTTCTTCAATATTAGTAACGTTTAGTATCAGAGTAATACAGTGTTGATGTAAAATCACAAGTTTGAAAATAAGTTGGGCGGTACGGCAGACGCAGGCGAGCGCACGCCGCACATTTTCAAATTTCAGGCGCGGGAAAACTCATTTCGACTTTGTTTCCCGCCAACACCCACTAACTTTTACAGGGAAACTTGATTAAATATTTAGTCACATTAACACCATGAAAATCACTTTCACAATTTCAAATAACTAATTTTGATCGAATTTTCACCAACTGCACACGCGGCAATTAAGAAAATATTTAAACACTCGAAAATATCCTTAAGTAGCCTTTGATGATGATGATGATGATGATTTCAGGTACTCACAGTCGTCGAGGGCCGGGAGAACATATAGCTCTAATAGAACACTAAGTTCAAATTTTCTGTCCATGTACTTTTTGAAATCAGATACTTTATAAGGCGGGATAGGTACCCATGGCGAACTTTGGAGGTCCATGGTGGACCCATGCCCAGAGACCAGGCATCGAGCTCGACTGGACTCGGCGGCGGCGTGGCTGTGACAGCCACCACGCGAGCTGCGGCACAGATGCACTGATACTGGTTCTGACCTACTTTTAACAAACCCTAAACTTTTGACGGACGACCGATATTCGTTCTATTTCTACCTTTGTTGTAATACTGATCATAATGATATTACTATCAGGAATGTGATTTTATTACTCAAATTTAACATTGATTTTAGAGATAAGTTAATGAAACGCGAGCCTCACGGTTTTAAGTTCGAAAACTTAAATTAAAATCTTCATTGTTGAGTTTATACCCTTCATTGTTTATGAAATGATTAGTTTATATCTTAATGTTGCGTAATTGTGAACAATAAACAATTAAGTCCTTGAGAAAAAATGTCTAATTTAGAAAAACGTACCTACGTTGTTTGAAATATAATCTTTATATTATAGGGAAGTATACATATAACTATAAAATAGTGTAGATGTAAATTAGGAAACAAATTTAATTTCGAATACAAACTGGGTGTATATCTATGCATTTAAATTCATAATTTACGGGCAATCAATATCGTAAACGTATATACAGACTTCAAGCTTAGTTTACACGTAGGTGTGAGGTGAGATAACAACAGTCATGTAAAACTAACTGAAAGTTTCTGAAAAGTTGTGTAGTAGTATAGTTGACCTAGTTAGGCCTAGTTATTAGTACAAGTGAGGCACTAGCTAAAAGATTGTTCACTTGTCGAGCTTAAGTTGTTAACAAATGATTATCTGGGAGCCTTTTATCGGATAACTTTAGTTTTCGCTCCATCTTGCATTACGTTCAACCAAGTACCTACTTCATCATTCTACAGGTGTTTTGTCGCAAAAGATACTATATATTAGAAGTTCATGTTTAAACAAATGTAATTATATAATATAGTAATTATATGAAAGTAAAAGCAAAAGATAAGTGAGCAAGCGTGGTGATAATTCTCCGTGTGAGAAGAGGCTTCTGGTCAGCAGTGGCTATACAGGCTGTTGACAAAAGGTAAGTTTAAAGAACAAACAATTTCCTATTTTATAATTAACTAAATCGTAAGTAATCAACTTATTTCATAAACAACTGTGGAATATTAATTAGTCCAGTATCAACCGTAAAAGATAGTTTTTCCAATTTTAGACAGACTCGCCTGTCAGTCTGCAAATGGATGTGGTATTTCTAGCTGTCATCCCGTATTTTTGATGTTCTATTCGAGTTTATTTAGGTCATACTTATAATACCTGCAGCCTACAGGCACCAGGTCACAGGTTTGCAGAATACAAACAAAAGAATTAATTGAGTGTCCAATCTCTATCTTCCTGAAATGGATTGAGTGATAAGTATTGGCCAATGGAACGTAACGAGGAACAGGACTCAACGAGGAGTTTATTTAAAAACATGTTAACATTCGAGTTACTAACCTCATTTTACGTTTTTCTTTTATAAAATTGTGAAACTTTTAGGAAGGGGTGGCCAAATTCGTTGATTATTACAATATGACCGTACTTACAAGTGAAGCTCTAGGAATGCTTAGGAGAAAATTTGTTATTTCGGGCACTGGCCCCCTCAGTTGCGAAACTTGTAATTACCAAAAAGTTTCAAACTAAAAAGTGGCGAAATTGTTCGAAAGAAGTTTATAAGTCTTCTTTCCTGGTACAAGCAAGGGTGTGGAAAAATCAACGACCTTGGTTACACGTTAACGAATATTTATTTGTTTTAACTCCAAAAGTTTCACGTAAGTGTTGCTACACGGAGGGGAGCAGCCTCGTGTTACTGTAACATCGTTGTCTAACTTTGGAGTCAAATAACATAATATCTATTAAAATGTTACTACCATCAAAACCATCTGCTCTGAAACCGTACGGTATTGTGCCAACATTCTATTTCAAAACAAATCCAGGATTCAATTTTGTAACTGAAAACGGATTAATTAAAAGTCCATTTCCGTGATGTTTTTATTGCGGCCCTTTTGTTGTTATGTCTGTGTTCGTTGCACCGAGTCTGGAATTATCAGGTGTATGGTTGCACCCCCCTCTCCCTGCAGCATGGCGGTAACAAGAGTAGATTTTACCATCAGCGGGGGATGAGCGTGGGAGGGTGCAACCCTGCAACGAACCCCTCTCTGTTCGCGAATTAAAAAATAAACACAAATCAATACTATTCGTTGTTGTTAGTCCTAAAAATAGCAAACAAAGAAAATGTTGGAATTTATAATGAATATTCGACTTACGGTTCCATGATCGATACTCATGGCCGTCGTTCATGATATATTCAAATTCTAAGCTGCAGCCTTGCCGTATACTTCTTTGTCAGTTTGACACATGAGGTCTTGTAATGAACCCTTGCAAGCCGCGCCATCTCGTCGTCGACGACGTAATTATTATTTCATTAAAAAAGTAAATAATAGGGTTAAACACCAGCGACACTTTCAGGTCGTGATAACTTGATTAAAATATAATGTTACCTTATATATCAAAGTATATATATTGGAATCGATAACATCGATGAAGGTTAACCTGTTTAACGCGATAATTGTCGACCTGTTTGATAGACATGCACCTTTGCACCGCGTGAGGGTTAGGCACGATCCTGCGCCTTGGATCACTTCTGACATTACAGAGGCAATGGCTCGTAGAGACAGGGCCAAGCGAAGGTGGAAACGTAGGTCTACAGATGAAAATCTTTCCTCTTATAAAAATCTTCGTAATCGCTGCAGTCGTCTGTGTAGGGATGCTAGGAGGCGTTACTTCGATGACAACTTGGCTAACCACAACGCCGCTGATGCCTGGAAGTTCTTGTGATCTGTGGGCATCGGCAAATCTCCTGTCAATGTCAGTAAGGATGTTGATCTTATCTCCTTGAATCATCACTTCTCCTACTCCCCTATTTCACTTGACAACCTTACAAAAACTAAAACTCTTCTCAACCTTTCCTCTCAACCGCTTCCCTCTTGTTCTCCTTTTGTGCTCTGTAGTGTGCCCGAGGACGATATAAAAAAATCCATGCTTGCCATTAACTCCTCTGCTGTGGGTAGTGATGGTTTATGCTCCCGTATGTTTATCCCCATTCTTGACCTCCTCCTTCCTATTCTCACGCACATTTTCAATTTTTCTTTATTCTCTTGCTCTTTTCCTTCTGCTTGGAAAACTGCCCACGTTATTCCGTTACCAAAAACTAATAACCCTTCTACCCTTTCACATTACAGACCTATTTCCATACTGCCTTTCCTCTCCAAGGTCATGGAACATATTGTTCATAAGCAGTTGACTTCCTTCTTGTCGTCAAACTGCCTCATCTCTCCCTTTCAATCCGGATTCCGCCCTGGCCACAGCACGGTCACAGCTTTACTCAAAGTGACCGATGACATTCGGTGGGCTATGGACAACAAATCTCTCACTGTTCTTGTGTTGTTGGACTTCAGTTCTGCCTTCAACTCCGTGGACTTTGACATTCTGCTGGGGGTCCTGAAGGCCAACAATTTCTCTTCTTCCTCTCTGGCCTGGTTTGAGTCCTATCTTCGGGGTCGCCGTCAGAGGGTCCGCCTTGAAGAAAATTTTTCTGATTGGTGTGACCTTGCTGCCGGGGTACCCCAGGGTGGCGTCCTTTCTCCTGTTCTTTTCTCCATCTTTATTAATACCGTTGCCAGGGTCATTTCATCTAATTTCCATCTATATGCGGACGATTTGCAGCTATACCGCCACTTTGGCCTGTCCGAGGCCCATTCTGCTATCGATGCCATGAATCGTGACTTGGATGGCGTTGCCGAGTGGGCTAGGTCTTTTGGATTGCAAATCAATCCTATCAAGTCTCAGGCCATGATCATCGGTAGCAGATATTATCGAAACGCTCTCGACGTCCCTAGCCTTGGTCCATTACGTTTGAATGGCACACGCATTCCATTCACTGATACTGCGAAAAACTTGGGGGTGCATATCGACTCGAACTTGTCGTGGGCTTTTCAGGTGAACGAGGTTAGTCGGAAAGTTCATTTCTCCATTCACTCGCTGAGGCGCCTCCAGACCTTGCTTCCGGTGAAGACTACTATTCACCTCGTCCAGGCGCTGATCTTGCCTCTCATTGACTATGCAGATGCTTGCTATTTGGACGCCACAGAGGAGCTATTAAATAAACTTGAGCGTTTACAAAATGTATGTATCCGTTTCGTCTTTGGTCTTAGGAAGTTCGATCATATTTCTGAATTCCGTAACAGGCTCAAGTGGCTCCCAATCCGTCTTCGCAGGAACACTCGCATACTATGTCTCCTCTATAACATCCTCTTCAACCCAGCCTATCCTACTTATCTTCGAGACCGTTTCTCCTTGGTGCGCCCTCCTGAAGTCCTTACTCGTTCTCATCTTAAATCCTATCTTAAAATTGTGCCCCATAATACCGACTTCTACTCCTACTCCTTCTCCGTTCATGCAGTGAGACTATGGAACTCGCTCCCGCCGAACATTCGGGACGCCAAGTCTATCTCTATCTTTAAGAGACAAGTGAGAGAACATTATCTTTCCTCCTGAAATATAGATTTGTTTTTCTATATTTATTTATATATGTATTATAATTGTATTATATTAATTTGTTTTATTGTTTATTATTGTTAATTCTATTGGTTTCTTCGGTCTTATTACTTTTTTTATTAATTGATTTTTATCTTGTTTGTGTAACACACTATGTGTCTCTGTATTGTTATTTCTTTTCCTGCCACAGGCCCACAGGAAGAAATTCCAGTTGGAATATGTGGGGCCTATGTACTCTGTTTTTTATTATGTATTGTCCTCTGTGTTGAATGTGTGTACATAAATTAATAAATAAATAAATAAATAAATCGATCCTTTATACATATAATGCATGCATGCGTCCAGCGACATTACTTTATATCATGCATGCGGGTGTTACACATTAGTGATATAAATAAATATAAAGTTTATTCTTTATATACCCACTAAGTATTAGGAAATAAGC